AAAAATTGTTGCAAAACTCAAATCCTACTTTAGAGAACGCAATCAAAAATATTGTTAAATAGAAAAAATGTTTTGTTAATGAAAAACAATCGCCAAACAATGCGATAGATCGAAAATCATTTTGGAAAAGGTTAAAAAGAAAGAAATTGATATTTAAAGAACTTCTGGGATGGGAAAGATTGAAAAGATCAAAATTTGCATTGAAAAGATTGAAAAGTACCTAAGATCCATATCAAAATTCATTTCAAAATTCATTGACAAAACCCCTTGAATTCCTCTATCAAGACACTCGTCAAAATAGACAAAACAATAAAGAAACAAAAACAATTTTGCTGAAAAATTGGCGTCAATTGGAAATAGTGATTCGATATGTTTTTAAATCTTTTCAATATATTTGTAGGGTTTCTGATTGGCCATGTTTTCTCTCCTTCCATCATCCCATCACAGTTTTCTCAGCTGCCTGGGAAAAGCAGGTGAAAAAGTGCTAACGAAAAGCAGCAAAAAGCACTGAATTAACCAAGGATTGAAATTTGGTGATTTGAATAGAAAAATGTTTGATTCTATGAAAACAGGCGTCTAATTTTTAGTGAAAACATTCGTTCTGTGAACATTAAAGATTTTCCCTGATGAAGTCACCAAAAAATTAACAAAAAGAGCTTCTCAAGTTAAGAATTGAGGCTTTTATATGGAAATTTTTCTATAAGAAACCTATTTTAATGAATTTCTTATAGAAAAATTATTTGGTGAACAAATTTGAGATATTGGAGTTGAAATTTGGAGCCAAAAGCTCATCGATATCTTGCTAAAACCTTTGTTGGATTGAAATTTAAAAGCTATAAAACTGGTATTCTAAACTCTATCAATACTTTCTTCTAATTTATGCAAAAGCTTATCTTTTTCCTATTCAAGTACACGTCTTTACCCCTTTTTTTTATTCCTTTTCCTCACAGCGGCTTCACGCTTGAGTGATAAGGAGGGACAAAGTCTTATCTAGGTCAAATAATTCCACGAATGTGATGAAGATAGAAAAGAAAAAGAATAAGAAAAGGAAAAGAGATGATTTAAATAGAAAAAAAAGTGAGAACTATTGAGTACAATCAAAGCCAAGCGAAAGTGAAAGATAGAAATAGATCCGTTTGAAAGCTTTGGAAAGCTGGAGAATTGAGAAAAATGGTGCAACTAATTTTAAACCAAAAACCAAATCATTTCTAGGCCAAATTTTACCTTAATCTTCAACTGATTCAAGTCATTTCATGGTCTTGATTTCTCCTTCTTGTTACAGCTTATTGAAAACTTCGCTTCCCCGTAAATTGTAAAAGTTCTGGCTTTGATCCTCGATAATTACATCCATATTGCATTAGAAACTCGTTCTTTCACCCCAATCTACCACCGAAATCTGTTCAAAAAACATGCTGGGGAGTAAAAGAGTTCAGTCCATTCACCCCTTTCCCAATATTGAGCCTCAACATACTTAAACTGAAGAAAACTGAAGAAAGGCAGTCAGTTTGAAGGGGGAAATTACGAGGAAATTGGGTCAAACAGGACAAAAATTCGAAAGAGAATGGGAAAGTTTGAGAAAATGATCATTGTTGGAAAGATCAGTCGTGATCTTGGCTACTAGTGGTTCTGATTGTTGCCATTTTAGAATGTTAACCTTATTGATCGATCTGACGAATCCAGGAGAATAGATTTGTTTGTAAAAAACAGTAATCTGGCAGTATTGTATGCAAACAATTGCCAACAATTGTCTAAACTAGCTGTGAATTTTGGTTAGGCTTTAGGTTAAAAGTCTAATTTCAAGTGCTATTGCTAAGCCAATTTATAGCACTTTTATATCTAATTTTATGCAAATGCAAATGTGCTATCAACTCCTAAACATTTGTAAACTCATTTCCAAATCAATACTTGGTCGGCAAAAGGGAAAAGACTTTGCTTTGACTCAAAGGTAATCAAAGGACAATATGCAAACATATGCGATTTTGGTAAACGGATTTGCATGTAAAGAGAAAGGAGAAAAGACACGAGTCCCAGGCCCTGGGGCACAAATTGTCATCGTGTTGATGGTGAGGGTTGAGATGGACAGAGGAGGAGGGGGGGTTCAACACGCACACCATCAAAAGAGAGGAAAGGGATGGGTGGAGAGAGGAAAACGCATATACACACACACACACACACACACGCATACAACCGATTTGAGGGCAGACGTGTAGAGGATTGGAAAAGGAGGGGATGCGTTGCGGTTGTGAAGCGGTTGGGGGAGAGATTGAGTGGAAATTGGGGAGAATGGGGACAGCACGAGGGATTGCTGGAGAACAAAAGGGATACGGAGACTTGGGAAACGGAAAACAGGAAAACTGAAAGATTAGACAATGAGGAAAAACTATAGACAACAGACTTTTGAGGACCGAGACAAGCTTGAAAAGATTTCGGTCTTACAAGAGAATTTCGGAAACAAAAGACTTTTAGAGATTGAATTATTGAGAACGAAAAGATTGAATGAAAAGAAGGGGTGGAATTTTAGACACCAGACATGCTAAAACAATACGGTTATTGGAGGGGAAGTAACTGTGTGGGAAATGATGGTCAGTGTTGTGAAAGTGACATGATGAAGAGTGCGGAAATGGGGAAATGGATAAAACTAAAGAATAAGATTTAGAGAAGGTAGTTTTATGATTTACAATCTCTTTTCTAAGCTTCAAGATTGATTTTGGAAGTTGATTTTGGGATTATAACTTGGATGAAACCTGTTTGTATGAAATGTTTGAGTGATGAAATCGATGAAAAGCTTTTTGTACTGAAATATTCTGACTTCTCATCTTGTCTGACGTTTTTTGAAGTGATTAAAAGAACCCAATTCATGTTGTAGCGTGATTTTTCGACTACTTATCCCTTCAGAGATCATTTTTTAAAGCAAAGCAAAGCAAGTCAACTATACTTTTCATCAAAAAAAACCTTGTTGACAAAGATTTTCCCATTTTTTCTACCCTCAAAAATCTTTTATTTTGTGTTTTCACAGCTGTCTTTACCCCATTCTTTTTCTTCAAACTCTGTAAAATGTCATTTTTTTTATTCTCATATTTGCACAACTTTTTTCTGGTCAATAATTTGTATAAACAGAGAAAGGCAAGGAAAAAGAATTGGTTATGAAAAAATTTTAGAGTTAAGCAATATCTCAAAACTTTCCTTTACCATTGAGTGGACAAGGCGGGAAAATTTATGATGAGAGATTGTAAAGGAGAAAAAAAGATGATGAATGACAAGAATGACCTTGGCCTATTCTGAAGGAAAAAGGAAAAAAAAGGAAAGGACAATCCTTTGAAAAGACATGACTTTAATTAAAAGTGATTGATTCAATGAAAAATTGGGGGAAAGAAGTGATGGTTGGGGGGGATTGGGGAATGATTCATGCAAGGATTGGGACTCGGGTTTTGGGTGAAATGGTAGAATGGCTTACTAAGAAATGCTGCTAAATCAAAGTCCAGTCAAATTTGATTAGTCCATCTGACAATACGAGAGTTTTCACCAAGAATTCTGAATTCGATCTTAACTTTTCCCATCGGATAGAGTTTTTATCTAAAGATTCTGATTTTAATTGTTTTTTTAAAATTATTTAATAATAAGAGATATTTCTAGAAGAACTGATAAATCTCATTCGAAAATTCGTACTTGATTTGACAACATTTCCATGTTAGACTTCGATTTTGTAAGGGTTAAAGTTAAGTTTCTAAATCCAAAGTTTGATGCAAAGATTCAAAGGCTATTTTAAAATTGATTTGGATAAAAGAATCAAGATAAAATCAAGATTCAATGGATGACTTTACAAAAATTGAACTTCTTAAGCTTTAACTCTGATAATTTTTGATTATTAATGTTAAAATGAATGGGTAACTTACTAGTGCTATTAAGCTAAATGTGCTTTTCGTACTTGATTCAAAAGTTTCACTCAAAAACTGTTGCAGTACAAGATTCAGAAAAGGAAACGGAAAAAAGGGAAGGAAAAAAAGTCTGATAAGACTTCTAAAAATACATGAACCAAAAAATAAAAAAAACAAACTAATAGGATTTCTTAAACTTACGTCTCTTAAAGTACGAAAAGCACATTTAGCTTAATAGTACTACCGTAAATACTGTAATAGTACCCCACCCCCATAATGACGGTGCAGAGTGTTGGGTAGTCTAGCTTTGAACGAGTTTTTCTCGACACTGGTTTACGCTACAATGCTAGAATAGTTATCAAAAAATAGCCCTGAATTTCAGCTATTTTTTGATACCAAAGACGCATTTTTTGAAAGTACGGGTGCTTTGCAAAAAATGAAATACTAAAAAACTTTTGCGACTACGCGACTGTACGAGGGGGTGGGGTCCAATTACAGTATTTACGGTAGTACTATTAAGCTAAATGTGCTTTTCATACTTGATTCAAAAGGTTCAATCAAAAACTGTTACATTACAAGATTCAGAAAAGGAAACCAAGTCTGATAAGACTTGAACATGAACCAAAAAATAAAAAACAAACTAGTAGGATTTCTTAATTCTTTTGAAGCGTGAAATCTCCCCCTTGAGCCTCTTTAGTGCCCTTCTCTTCTCCATTCCCCTTTTTCCCATTCGATCAACAATGCTCTCTAATTATTTCGGGGTCACATCAAAACCCCACCATGAAAAGACGAATAATTAGAGTTTCTATTGAAAAAGAGACACAGGAAAAACCCATAGAGGAATTGACGAAGAGAAAACGAGAAAATCGGCAAGAAACTGGCGATCATCTAGTGTACAAATAAGTTGAAAAATTGAATCGATTGCAACAACACAAGTTTGATTTAACTGTTTTCTAAATCAGTCAATTCAAACTAAGTAAAAATTCTTTACTACTCTTTACCGAAAATCTGTTCATTTTCCTTTTCCTAACATTTCAAGCAAGCCCACCACGGTTTCATTGTCATTTTATCTTTCAATAATTCCTGTAGCTTATTTTGCTATACATTACATTTTATAAAAACTTACGAATCAGGTGGAATCGATTGATTTTGGGGCATCATATGTGGCGGTTGTGAGCCTGGAGGTATTGATGGACCGGCCATTCCTAAATTTCAGCTTCAGGAGGAGATTTGGGTTATAGTTGGTGAGGAAAACCCTATCCTAAACATTTTCATAGTAGAAAATTTCAATGCAAAAAAATGACTCTGCATTTTTACAGAAATTTGATTAACAGTCTAATAAATTGATAAGGATTGGAGTTTCGGCAATTAGCGGTTCGCCTTTTGAAACTACAGCACGTTTTCCAAGCGGTATTACTGACAATGAGCTCAAAAATAATACTATTGGGTTGGGGAATATGAAATGGTGGCGTCTTTGAATAAACATTTGAAAAAAACTAAACCATAACTTTTTCTCAAATCCTTTTCTAATAATAATTAAATTTTTGTTGATTATACAGTAAAATTTGATCTCAAACTGATGCACAGTTTCTGATAAATGGCGATGGATGTGCTAAAGGTCGATTTTTGACTACCACTTAACGTGACGATGTTTGTAACCAAAAATACTCGACTAGCATCCAGTTAAAACGGCTACCATATTCCCTCTAATAGTAGTGCACCCTGAGCGTTGTCTAAATTGCTCGAAACCTCGAAAAGCGCTTATCAGAACTTATCGATATGTGGCCGGAAAATGTAGCTGACGATGAGATCTTGTGGGGGATTTGAGTGTTGAGCTTCTGCGAAAACTTAGAAACCGTAAAATAGTGATCAGCTCGGCTCGCTAGGGTGCACTACTATAGGGAGAATACGGTAAGTGGTTTTTTTAAAAGGGGGGGGGAAAGGAAAAAAAGGGCCCAAAAAAAAATATATTTTGGTTGGTTTTTTGGGGAATTGAATTTTGGTCCTTTTAAGTTTTTTTTTTTTCCCCCTTTTGGGGGGGGGGGGGGGAGGGGAGGGGGGGGGGGGGGGGGGGGAAAACCAGCGGGGGGGGGGGGGGAAAGATTAGTTACTATCGACAATACCAGACTCCGTTGCAGACCAAATACCGTATTTTCTCTAATAGTAGTGCACCCTGAGCGTCGCCTAAATTGCTCGAAATCTCGAGAACCGCTTATCCGAGCCCACATCTATTGATGTGGGTTCGGAAAATGTAGCTAACGATGAGATCTTGTGGGGGATTTGAGTATTGAGCTTCTGTGAAAACTTAGAAACCGTAAAACAGTGAACTTAGAAACCAACTCGGCTCGCTGGGGTGCACTACTATTAGAGAAAATACGGTATTTTATAAGATAATAAATCAAGTTTATTAATAAAAATGAAAGATTAAAAAACGACGTGCCTGAGTCCTGGGAATAGTATCCTCAAAAAGTGAAAAGTTCTTATACGAAAATTTTAATTTTATGTTAATTTTGGTTAACAATTTCGTACAAATATATTGTCTGAAACGGTTTTTGAATCTAGCAAGTTGTTGCAAATGTTGAGCAGTCTAGTTTTTAAGGGGAAAATTAGTCAAAAATTAGACCTTTGCCACATCCATCCCCATTTCTCCAAATGTGCATCAGATCGGGATGTAATTTTGGCTTTACAAAATTACAATTGTTACATCCCGGCTTTACAAAATTACAATCAACAAAATTACAATTGTTATTCGACAAAAAATTTGAGAAAAAGTTCGTCCAAAGACCCAATGCATCTTAAAGTTTAAAGGATTATTCCATAAACAAACCAGGCGCCATCATTGCCAGATTCGGCGGTGTTCGGTAACCCATGTGTGGTCGGGGCATTCCCGGAGAGATCATCGATCCATTCATCGGTCCAGCCATTGGCCCATTCATCCCTGCACCCATCATTCCACCCGGCCCCATCATCGCCACCCCACCAGCGCCATTCATCATCAAACCTGAATTCAACTTGGTAATACTTGGAAATCAAATAATGAAAAGGAACTGGTTGCAATGTTTCTTCTTCTTTTCAATTTTCGAAATGTTTCTGTGATTGAAACGAACCGATAAGACTTTTTTGGGGCAAGCGTTTTTGTCGCCGAATGAAAATGGGAACGGGTCAGCTGCTGGGGAAAAACTTCCGAAATTTGAATCGAATTTTGAGAAGAACAAGCTTTGAGCTGGATTGGGTTGAGAAATGGGTGATAGTAAAGAAATGAATGATTGTCAAAGATCGAATTGAATGATCGTAAAGCTATTTTAGTCTGAAGGGCACTTGTCAAGCTTTAGTTAGATCAATGGCTTTGATTAGAAAATAGATCTACTTTTTATGGATGTTTTTTGTCTGTACTTGGTTTTGGTCTTGTCTGTTTAATAAAGCCGAATTCATTGCCTGTTGACCGAATTGTTAGCATAACTTGAGATTTAAAGCTTGAACAAGTGGTCAAATCGTTTCATGACTTGATTACCCAACAGCAAACACAAATCCCCAATTCAATTCATCCGATCTACCTGAACCCATTGGATGAATTGACGGTGGTGGAGGGGATTGCATATTTGTCGTCCCTGCAACCATATGTTGCATCAATTCAATGGGTGATCGATTCTGTTGATGTGGATGAAATGGTGGCGGTGATTGAAGGTGATGATGATGAGATGATGTTGATGGACCGCCAGAACCCATCATTGAGTGATGGGGTGGAGATGGGAAATGAGAAGACGATGGTGTTGGGACAACTCCGCAAGACGCCAGTGTTGCGGAGTTTTGATATGATAGGGAATCGATTGATTGTACTAAAAAATGAAAATTCAAGAACAAATGGAAAATTTCGAAACTAATGACGAAGGCAAACAAAAAGTTGACTTAAACCAAATCAATTTTTCAATTGTGAGCAGAATGAGGATGAAACGGTGCAGGAATGGCAAATTTTAGTTGCCTAACTGGTTGAAAAAGCTATGTAAATCAAGTTTTACTCAAGAAATATACTATTTTATATAAAAATTCTCAAGCTTTGTCAGTTTTAGCTTTAAAACTTGACATATTTCATTAGAATCATAAGCTCTTCAACAAAAATGAAACTATGACTTTACTTTGTACCTATTCAATAAGGAAACAAAATTTAATTGCCGTCTGATTCGTGCAAATTCACACTCCACTAAACAGGTGTTTGTTGAATTTCACGAAAATGTAATGTGAATCAAAAAATCGAGAATTTAGAGGGAATTTCTTGAATAGCGTACAAGTTTGGAATCATTCTTGAAAGGGATCAAAAAACTTGTTGGTGTTCAAAATAAAAAGCTTTCGATTGAGTCCAAGATTCTCTCTCATTTCCCCTTGTTATTTCTCGAAATTGACTTTTCCTTTGTTTTGTACATCAAGATCACGATCTCCGAGTGAATGTGACAATTTTTTTCACTCCCACAAATAAAGGGAAGAATAAAATGAAGGGAAAAGACCCGTTCGTCTGAAAAGTTACAGAAATTTGTGGGGAATTTTAGGGAACTGTTAGTTTTAGGAGACTTACTGAATGAAGAGAAGTACGGATAAGAGAATAGAAAAGGGAAAGTGTCATTAACTAGCTTCTCGAATATTTCCTATTCATTGCCAATATTCAGACAAGATAAAGAAGTAACAAACAATGATGATCAGATGATCAAATAATCAAAAATTAGTGGAAAGGAGGAATCGAATTTTTTGCAGACTTTCAAGCGCGTAAAAAAGAGTTCCTTGTTGGGGAAAAAGATTGAAATAAACTGTGTTCAATTGAATCAAAATCGAAAATCGCTTTTACATTGCAATATCGATAGATTTGTGATTGTTGGATGAGCAAAAGTCTTCTGAAAATCGACCGAAATAAATTTTCACTCTTATAAACTTTTTTCATACGAAATTATCCTTATCGTAATGTCAGTTTTATCAATTTGACATTTTCTAGCAAAGTTTGCAAATGAGAAATGCAACAAGAGAAGAAAAATGCTTAAAACTGGTTTGCAAATCCCTTAAGAGTAGAGAAGTGAGCATGTTAGAAGTCCAATTTTTACCGAAGTCCAATTGCCAGAAGTCCAATCGTGTTTATCCTCTGTCTCACAATTGTCAGCAAGATTTCATTAGGCCAATTCTGCTATTAAGTAAGAAAAGCTTAAAGAACGGCAATCTGAATATTTCCAAAATCATTATTCGCAGATCAAAGCCGTTTGGACAAGTCTACTACTGGATCATAAGCACAAAAGATTGAGTATCAGAAAACGATAATCAGAAGAGCCAATATTATGTTCCAGATCAATGCTGTCCGCCGTTTTCTACTAACTTCTTTTTCACTCTCTCCCGAAAACTTTTCCCCGTTCAGTCTAGTGGTTTGCCCATTTGCAAAAGGGAGGGACTTACCCCATGAAAAAGCCAACAGCTGGCTGCGTTTAAATGGACAAAAGAAGTGAAATGAAAAAGAAAAAAAGAGAGGGGAGAATTCAGGGATTGGGGTCAAAGAAAAAGGAGTCTATTCCAAAGAAATGTTCCCCTTTTTGCCCCATTCTTCTCTGATTCGAAGATACGAGCACGAGACCCAGAAAAACTCGAGTCAGTGAGTAGAGATTCAATTGGTTTAGATAGTTTAAAAATGGAGTTGAACAGTTTCCCATTTTGCGATGAATTTAGACTTTTCTTTCAATCTTGTCTGATTTTAAAACGATGACATCGACATAAACTATGAAAAATCGGGTTTTTAAAGGATTAAAAAAAAAGGAAAGAAAATCATTCAATGAACAAAAACAATGTCGACTACAGTCTAGAAGGAAATATTTATATAGAGAACAGTTTAAGAGATTAAGTTTGAACAGTTTAAGAGAATTTCTAGAGAACATTTTGAAGAGACCAGTCTAAGCGGTTAGATTAAAACCGAATGAACAAAAAAAACGGATAGATGGCTAGACATAAAAACGAAGCGATCAATCAGGAAATAAGAATGGCTTTTTAGAAAGGATATGTTTTTATTCTGAGGCATTTTGAGAAAAAAAAAGAACTACTACTGCAATTCTAACCCCATACACTTGAAATTTGGAATGAATGAAGAAAGAAAATCTTACTATTATGCAATAGAACGAATTGTTTCAGTTCTTAGCACAAAGTACAACACTTTTTAGCGCTTTTTTATGTTCTACACCTGATAACCCAATTATTATAGAATTTAATGGATAATGAGAAAATAAAAGCTACTGAAGATGGATTTTTGAAGAAGCTGACAGAATTTTTCAATAGATTTCACCTTTTCCCAGTAAGTTTTTAGATAAAATATCCTAATTCTAAAGCTAAAATATTCAATGAAAAATGGGGATGGATTGCGAGAATCAAAAAGTTGAAAAGTGTCAATTTTCGAGCAAAAAGTATCCAAAGTATTAACTAAGGATCTTTTTAAGGTAAAAGTTTCAATGTATAGAATAAAGAAGATGAATTGAAAGAGAGAATAGGAGGAGTGGCAGTCACTCGTTTGTGTGTCGTGTATGTCTTTTCCCATCCTCTCCGTCGTCCAGGGTTTTGGCGGTTCCTTTTCTCTATTGGCCTCCGGATTTTTTTCCCTCTCCAGTCTATAGCTTCTTTTTGGTCTCTTTTTAGGAGGGGTTCGTTCGCTTTTCTCTTTTTGTTTTTCCTCAAAAGCCATAGGCTCACCGAGAGAAGCTCTCTATGTGGGGGGAGATTCTCTATAGGGGAAGGCACCACTCCCCCTTTGCTGTCCCCATTCTCTATTCCCCCTCTTTTTTTTTCACCCACTGGACAATTGGCATCAAAAGCCGAGAAAATATTTTCCACCAAAACCTTTGTTAGTTAGATATAATATTAAAAAAAAATCTAGATAGTGCAAAAATTGAGCCAAAATTGAGCTTCAGCTGATTGCGAGTTGAATTTTCTAGCTCTCAAGTTGCTAAGTTGAATTTAAACTAGAACTTGCTAAGCTCTCAAGTTGCTAAGTTGAAGTTTTCTAGATCTCAAGTTGAATTTAAACTAGAACAAATTTTTAGCCGATCAAAGATCCCAAAAAAAAAGCAAAATCGTATATCTTTTTATCGTTCACCTAACTATAAGCTGGTTTTTCATTAAAAATATGTGTAAAAATCAATTTGTAAATAAGATAATTGAATTTTAGATTAAAATTTCAATAAGAAGATTTAAAAAGGAAAAGCCAAGAACCCAAGTGAAGAAGCTTGTTTGATATGGAAAGAGTCCCTTCTTCACCCCCTTCCAGTGGACAATTGCCCGTCCAGGACATCGAAAAAAAAGGGGAAATGGCTAAAGAGAATGGGAAGAATGAGAAAAGGAGAATGAAAGAGAATGGAGAGAATTCACCGAGATCGAGATGGGCTTTCCCCTGCTCACTCCGTTTTTTTTGGTAAAGAGAGACGAGGAGGTGCTGAATCAAGAAGCCCAATTCCCTTCGACTCCAAAAGGTTCCATCCGAGATACACTTCCGAGAAAGGGGAATACAAAATGGTGGAGTTAAGAGAAAGCTTGGCATTCTTCAGCTATGAATTCGATTAAAGTTATGAAGCTAATCTAGATTTTAAATTCAGAACAAGATTATTAAGTTAGTGAAAAGTTAGAAATTTTTGAAAAACAATGTTTTGATCTAATTCTGATCTAGTAGCTCTAGTAACTTGTTTTCTTTATTTAATGAAAACTCGATTTTAATCGAAATTCTCAAAAGATTCATAACTTTAATCTAATTCATAGCTGAAGAATGTCAAGCTTTCTCCGAAATTCACCTTTTTCAATTTCAAAATTTCAAAACAAAATACTCAAAACTTCTTAATCGTATTAGTCGTAAATCAGTAATAAAAGTGGAGAATGTTATTGGAATAGAAAAAAGAGGAAAACGGAGAAGTGAAGTGGGTGAAGGGAAAAGAAAGAAATCGAGAGGAAAGGGACGGGAAGGGAGGCGAGAAGGCGATGTGCCGGAATTATGTGTTTCCCACGCTACGCGATCCCTTTCAGAGCTCCTTGAAAGTTTTCCTTCTCTTACATTCTACTTGGCTTAAGATTTTAGTGAGTCTTTTGTTCTGAGAATTAAACTGCATCGATTAAATGGAAAGGTACACTGAGCTCTCTCGCTTTGTCGTCGCTTAGTCACTTTGTCGCTAGTCAGAGTCACTTTGTCAAGGGTTTTAAGTGCACTAGAAATGGGGTGTCTACAACTCACAAAGTACATAAAGTTAGCAAAGTTACAGCTAGTCAAGATCAGGCTTTTTCTAAAAGGAAATCCGTTCAAACCAGGCCAGAACCAGATCTGAGCTAGGTCAGACCAAGGGCATCCCTTCTAAAACTTTCTGTAAGACTTAAACTCTGAAAGCTTTGGTAGATAATGTAAGTACTTCTCAAGTAACATCAAATAAAGGTGTATTGAGCGCATAACCAGGGTTAGAACCAGGTTTCTGGCTGAATCTGGCTTACAGGTCTTCGTTCTCAGTCGGAAAATCCGGAGCACTGAAGCAGAAGTACCAAGGAGACAGAAGTACCAAGGAAATCCGCAGAAGCACTGGCTATACTCAAATATGCATAGCAACAAGGTTCTTAGAATGAGAAAAGATTGATCTTTGAAA